GGGAGTGGCCACTGCACTCCAGTCTGGGCGACAGAGTGAGCCTCCAAAAAAAAAAAAAGAGCTAGTTGAACCATGTGCAATGTTCCTTCCCATAGGAATAAATTTTGAGTTCAACAGATAGAACTTCTTCAGAACATAGGTGATTTGCCTGTTTTCTTCCCAGCCTCCAGCCTGACGCTGGGTAACTGTTATCGCCCATAATTCAGTAGTGGTATTATTGCAGCCTGGAAACACCCAACCACAGTCCCAAGACCCAGTTCATTTACTAGTCACACTATTTTTTTAAAGCCTCCCAGAGATCCAAGTTGACATTTCTTAGAACATGAGCCAAAATTGACATTGCTTTGAAAAAACTATGCCATTTTAAGTCTGTACAACCTCTGGGACGCTGTTGGTAGAGCTGTGGAGCCAACAGGGCAAAAGTTATCATTGCAATGTTTTTTCTATTGTCTTGTTTCTGATTTTTTTTTTTTGAGTTGGAGTCTCACTCTGTCGCCCAGACCGGAAGCGGCCACTGCAGCCTCAACCTGCTGGGCTCCGGCGATCCTTCCGCCTCAGCCTTCCCAGTAGCTGGAATTACAGGCATGTGCTACCACGCCTGGCTGATTTTTTGATTTATTGTAGAGATGAGGTCTCGCTGCCCAGGCGGGTCTCGAACCCGTGGGCTCGGGCAATCCACTCACCTCAGCCTCCCAAAGGCACGGGATTACAGGCTGAGCCACCAAGCCCAGCGTTTCTGAACTTTTATAACTTGGAGTTTTGTACTTTGAAATGAAGTGTATTTAAACAAACCACAAATTTGTTCTTTTATTAGTTTTGATATGCTTTATTAGGAGGTGTTTGCTAATTCTGGGGTTTTTTTTGTTTTGTTTTTTTTCTGGTGGAAACAAGGTCTCACTGTTGCCTAGGCTGGTCTCGAACTCCTGGGCTCTAGCAGTCCTCTCACCTCGGCCTCCCAAAGTGCTGGGATTCCAGGCATGCGCCATCAAACCCAGCCTAACCCTGTGTCTTTTAGCCAGGAGTTCATATATCTCAAGAGCCAAGTCAAAATATGGTGCATGCCTGTAATCCCAGCACTTTGGGAGGCCAAAGTGGGAAGACTGTTTGAGCCCAGGAGTTCAAGACCAGCCTAGGTAATGTAGCAAGACCCCCTCTCTACAAAAATATTAAAAAGTTATGTGGGCGTGGTAGTGCACATCTATTGTCCCATCTACTCTGGAGGCTGAGGCAAAAGGATCACCCGAGTCCAGGAAGTTCAGACTGTGGTAAGCTATGATCATGCCATTGCAATCTAGCCTGGGCAACAGAGACCCTAACTCAAAAAACATCCATCCATCCATTCATTGCCACATCTATATTTTTTAAATTTTGAGATGGAGTCTTACTCCGTTGTCCAGGCTGGAGTGCCATGGGACGCTCACGGCTACCCCAGCATCAACGTGCTGGGCCCTGGCAATCCTTCCACCTCAGCCTTCCAAGTAGCCAGAACTACAGGCGTGTGCTACCATGCCCGACTGGTTTTTTATTTTATTGTAGAGACAAGGTCTCACCAAGTTGCTCTGGCTGGTCTCAAACCCGAGGGCTTTCAAAGTGCTGGGATTACAGGCTGAGGCACCAAGCCCAGTTACCTTGATTCATGAATAGGTAAAATCTGTTCCCACCCATTCACGGGCAGTAGTAGTTCAGGTAGGCTAAGGAGACTCCAGCTGCATTTGTGATCTTGAACTTGAGTACCTGCATGAGTTCCCTGTGGCTGGTGTAACAGATTCCCACAACTTTGTGACTTAAAACAGCACATTTGCCGGGCGCTTTGGCTCATGCCTGTAGTCCCAGCATTTTGGGAGGTGGAGGCAAGAGGATTGCCTGGGCTCATGGGTTCGAGAGCAGCTTGGGCAACATGGTGAGACCTCATCTCTACAATAAATTTTTTTTTTAAATTGGCCAGGTGTATTGGCGCATGCCTGTAGTTTCAGTTGCTTGGAAGGCTGAGGCAAATGAATCGCTGAGCCCAGCAGGTTGAGGCTGCAGTGGCTGTGAGCGTGCCACTGCACTCCAGCCTGGGCAAGAGTGAGACCTGCAACTCAAAAAAATAATTTTATTCTCAGTTCTGAAGGCCTGAAGTCAGAAATCAGTTTACTGGGCCAAATGAAAGGCAGCTCCCTCAGGAGGCTCAGTGGGCCAGGCACCTTGCAGCCTCCGACTTCTGGTAGCTGCCTTACTTCAACCCTCAAGGCCAGCATTTTCGACTCCCCCCCCACCTCCCCCAGGAGCTTGTGACCGCATTAGGGCCCACTAGGATTATGAGATAATCTTCCTCTATCTAGATCGTTAATCTAATTATCCCTGCCAATAAGGTAGCATTCATGGGTCCCAGACATGCGAGCCTGATTATCTTTGGGACGGTTATTCAGCCTTCCATCTCCCCAGGGCCCAGGGGTGGGTGGTATCATGTAATCTAACTGCAGTCATGGCAGTGTCCTGCATCTGTGCTGCCTACCTGTGTGTGGGTCATGAGGGTGTCATCTGTGGCAGACTCAGCCTTGGTCCAAATAACTTAAGGGCAAATGACCACAGGGCTCAGTGGAGTGTGGAAGCAGTGGTCATCCTTGAATTCCTGTAGTTCCCATGCCTCTCATGACAGCAGCTAGAAGATACTGCCTAATGTCAGCAGTCATCTTGTCCTGATTATCAGGACAATACAGTATCAAGACGGGCAGTTGGCACCATGTCCAACCCTCTTGAGTCTTGATTGCCAGTTTGCAGTTTCCTGAGGGAAAGTGGTCTAAGTGCGAACATGCAAGCCCCTCACGTGCCATGTCATCCCACTCAACAATTACCTGATATTAAACGACAAACGCTGCCACCCTGGTACCAGCCACAATGGATTCGGGATGCCATGATGGAGTCAGCACCAAGACTCCAAGATGAGGACCAAGTACATTTAAGATTCTGGAAAATGTTTTGTTTTGCTTTTCAGTCGGAAGTGTCACTGCCACCTAGGCTGGAGTGCAGTGGCATGCTCATGGCCATCGTAGCCTCAACCTGCTGGGCTCAGGTGATCCTTCTGCATCAGCCTTCCAAGTAGCTGGAGCCACAGGCATATGCCACCTTGCCTGCCCAATTTTTTGATTTATTGCAGAGACGAGGTCTCACCATGTTGCTCAGGCTGGTCTCAAACCTTTGAGCTCAGATAATAGTCTCATATCCACCTCCCATAGTGCTGGGATTACAGGTATCAGCCACCACACCTGGTAAGATTCTGAAGAAAGCTCTTTGTGAGTGGTACACAAATATGAATACATTGACTGCTAGACATGCAGACTGATTACTTAGCTAGAACTATGATGGACTTGACCTCTAATACTACAGGCCCCACAGAACATGCACGGTAGGGAGGCATACCCAGCACCACACGAGGTTCAGTTCTGGATGCCCTGAGGCCATTACAGGGTGCTAAGAATTACCAGGGAAAGAGGAAGGACCAACAGCAGTGAGAATCTGGGCTAAGGGGAAAGTCTGGTAGCAGGGAGCATTCATTATACCCAGAGGCCTGGATGGCCAGGAGGTAAGCTGCCATCCTACAATGGTTGATTACCCCTCACCAACCCTGCAGGCACACACCAAGTCCCTTCCCCTCTAGGGAACCGCTCTGTGGCTTCACCTCCAAACCTCAAAATGCCCCTCAACTCTACATTCAGCCTGTTCAGGCATTCCTGGCCTGCCCTACCCTAACACGCAAACCTCCCCCTTTTTCTGCTCTGGCAGTTACACTGGCTAACATACCAAGTGCATCACCTTCAGAGCTTCCCCACCCCCAGGCTGGACTGTAGGGTATAATCTGGAGCATAAAGATGTAAAGCTTAGGTAGAGAGGCCCAAACTCTGGATTAAGCACTAACACAGACTGCAAGGTATCAAATACTTTTTATTGAAGATTCTGGGAAATGAGCTGTGACACACAGGCAAATACTGATCAAGAAGAATGGCCTTGTGTGGGCTCTGTGCTGCTTGCTAGACTGTTTCCTCCTGCACAAAAACGTTCCTATCACTTTCCAAAGTTTCTAACTATCTAGCCCCAGCTTGTCCTTCTAAGCCCCAATCACTCCTCATTATGCTAGCTACATAGAAAATACCCAGCAGGCTGATGGGTGCTCCCTTTGTACCAAATTTTGGAATCCTAGGTTTAATGTAATTAATACATTTAAGTCTCATTGAATTGTATTCCTAACAGCTCTGCAGACCGAGTCTGTTTAGTTTTTTTGCCGTTACACCAGAATACCAAATCTCAAGGTGACTTTCCAGAGGTCACACGGGACAGAACTCCAGTAGCCACCTAACCCTTGCCTTCATCTGTGAAATGGGAGCAGACTCAATCTCAGCTGCAAAAGCTGTGAAGGAATGAACAGGAAGCCTCTGCTGCATTGCCTGCCACCAACACCACCCCCTGCTCCAACTCCCTGGGTAGCACAGGAACACCCTATCAAGAGAACTCAACCTTCCTCGAAGCATGTTCCACTGTGCCAGTAGGGTCAGCTTCCAGCTGCTGCTTCAAAGCAGGCACACAGACAAGCGAGGCCCGAGTGTTGCTGAAACTCGTCTCATGTCCAAATTTTCAGGTGAAATTTGCTGACAGGAACTCTGACACCCGTCAACTCTACAGGTTCATCTACAGTCCGAGGGCAGTTTTTCAAGCTGGTTTGACAAATTCTTCCCAAGTTTTTTTCAGTTTGGCTGTTTGAAGGTTTACCCCGTTTAAAATGGGAAAACCATTGGTAAACTTGTGTCTTACTCAGAACAGCATCTTTGTAAGTTGTTTGTAGCATACTAACTGTTTCCGCCACATTTTCCCCCAACAGTAAACAAAATTTCACTGCCATGCATTGTTCATGTAAATCACCCATCATGATGTGGGGAAATGCTTGAAAAGAATGTAAAAAGAACTAACTGAAACTAAGTGCAGCCACTCCCAACATTGCTAGCTGGCACCCTGACACCGACTAGTTCCTCTAACATCTAGTGGGGAAGCCGTACTACAAGGGCCCGCCCTCACCACTCCCTTAAGATGGTTCCCGGTTTTTTGGTCTCTCCATTAAGTCAGTGGCAACACCAGCATCAAAGCAGACCAGCTCCAGCGGCTTTCCCTGTAGTTTCAACCTACAAGAAAGAAACGTTTTCGAGTGTGGACAGCTATCTTTTTCTGCCCAGTGCTTCCCTGCAGCATACTCAGTGAATCTGATTTTCTCACTCTTAAAAGAGGAGAAAAGAAACGTTTTTAAATGCGTTTATAACAGTGCTTCAATGTGTTTATCGTGTGTTCTATGGACTGAGTTTTTTTTAAGTGACAAAGATGCTTCAATTCCAAGGTAATCTCTCCTGTTTGTGCTGTGCCTCCAGACAGGATCCAAAGGGGAGCCAAGCACCCTCCTCTCCGGGTTTTATGGAGACTTGATTTACCCTTCTGTGTTGGCCTCTTAAAGCACTGCGTCAACCTTAAAAGGGCACAGGAAAGGGCGACTTGAGACGTTTGTTCTCCCGGGGTTTTTCTGTTTACCACCTCGTGGTTCTCAGCAGTTCCCTTAATAGGCCCGAAAGCACCTCGGAAGCCGCTGTACTGCCAGAGGGACTCCCCTTTCGCTAGAGTCGGATCCTGGGCTCCGCGCGGCCGCCCCGGGACCCCCGCCGCCAAGGGCCACGTGCTCGGACCTGCGCCTCCCCGGGCGCAGGGGCAGGGACGTACCTGCGCATGGAACTCCGCAGTCGCTGGACACACGCCCGCAGTCCGAGATCGGCGGTCCGGAGCCTGTCCACAGCGGGGACAACCTGGGGAGCAGAAAGAGCTAGCACCAC